TTCAAGGCTGTGTTGACTTCCACACATCTCCTTCCGTCGACCAAGACTACACGAGTAGCGTTAGTACCTTCAAGACGCTCCACGTGAAGGCAACACATTCTCAGTGTCACGCAGATATCAACTGCAGGGTGTGTCATTGTGATGAATTCACGAAAGTCTCTTACGCTTGAAAACATGCTGACAGCTTCCTCTTCCATTTGTTTCAAAACGGCCCCGCGAATGGAATCCAAGAAATCCATTTTGACTTGATACAGCAAAATCAAAAGTGACAGACGCAAATCCGAAAGTTAAATTAGCCAACTTCAACCCAGTAAGGAAACTGTTCACAGCAGTATTACTTTTGCATGTCATATTTTATTCATATCGACTAGAGAGCCCAGCAAACGGTGGGTAATTGAGGGAGTACTCTTAAATAGTTGGTAAGTTGTTCCAGGCTCTGCTCGAAGCCCAGAGAGATATTAAAGTGGTGCACCATACTGCGTGAAAAGGCGTAGCGCTTGGCCAGATCCACTTTGTGTAGCGATAGGAGAATAGGCACCAGCAACTTCCCACGGTCCTCTGCGAAAGCCAATTGATCAGCAAGAAGGTCGCAATTTGCAGACAGCGGAGACAACACCACTAAGACGACAGAGCAGGCGAGAATGGCATCTTTTGCAGCCAATTGCCGCGTTTGAACAGGTAAAGGAGCCACTGGTTGCTCAATGCAGCTCAAATCTGCGCCGAAGCCGCCGCTTTGAACATCGCTGTTCACAGTATCTTGCGGCCGATGCGCATATTGTACCGCAGGAACTGTTTGATCCACAACACAGCGTATTCCCTGCTTGAGCAACGATTTCTGGAGGCGTAGACACAATGAGCGGTGGATATCACCATGCGCAATAAAGACGAAAGAGTATGTACCGGATGTGAACGCGAGAGACGAAGCCAATGAGTCAATCCGTCGTAATGGCCGAATAAGTGGCACGTTCAGTGGCCCTCTGGGAAGCTGATCGCTGCATTCGACGTGTCGATTTCTTCACACTCGCTTTGCTTATCATGATCCGTAGACATTCCACACAATGCTCTGTCTTCTTCCTCCGGATAACACTCACTCTCGTTGCGACGGCTTCCATGGCGTGACGCGTCTCCGCTAACAGTAGCATCAGTCTCATGACCAGGAAGTTGTGCTTGTTGCTGCTGCTGCAACTGGCGCCGAGCTAGTCGTGCACGATGCTCCTCGATTTAATCTTGAATACCGTCCAGTAGTATCCTTAAGCAGTGGCAAAAGGCCTCGTCATTGTAGTTCGGAACTAACTCGAGGTTGCTTAAGACGCGCTTGCCCACCATATTGACCACCACGTTCGTAGTATCATCTTCACTGTACACTTCCCCCTCATGTGAGTCAGTGTCAACTGTATATGAGCTATTCCTCGCCATCCGCTGCAGATCAGCATCATCTCCTGTAGAACTTACACCGTTATTGTGCTTAACTGCCGATCGAAAGTCAATCACTTGGCGGGTCCACAGGTAAACTTGTAGCTCTTCAGATATCTCCATATCCTCGCATTGTATAGCCACGACAGAAATGTCTGCATTTTGGCAAAAGCGAGTTCTTTCATGCACCATTGTGACTGTGGGTAGTCTTTCGTGAGTACAGCTAATACAAGAGCACTGCTATGGATCCCGCGAGCAATCTCTTGACGCCAGACGGAGCCATCAGTGATCCCAGTAGGTCCCATAGTGTCGATACAAAGTTGTCACTCGGTGGCGCTCTAACGAGTCTCGAATCTTCCGTGCTAACGGTGCGTGAGCATGACTGTAGCTGATCATAAAGTCGCGCTGACCTGCCTCCTTCTTCGCAGCGAAGCGTAGTGCTGGCGAACGTGCGCAGTCGATCGCACGTTGACCGAGCAGATTGACTGCTGTTAAACTTAGGCCAGCACGAACGAAAAGAACCGCTGCAGTTTGATTGCGTCGCCGAAGCGCAACATGGAGAGCAGAATCGCCATTGCTTGTACGTGTAGCGTGCAGATCGACTTCATCTTCCAACAGCAGCTGGAAAATACGGGGGTCAAGTCCACGCGCTAACGATCTCTGGCCGCTCAGCACCGCCTCCATTCCCCCATCCTCGCTTCTCGACCCATGTCCGTGCGAAGGCGATCGTTTTGAGACTCGCGGGCGACCTCCAGAGCAGCCTTAGCGGCTTCGATAGCGCAGAGCGAACACGAATCGCTGCTTAGAACCACGCTCCCACGCCTCTATCCTATTTCAGTACAGAAAAACAGTGCATTCTGAACGTGTAGCCATGACTTTTTACAGAGTTCTTACGGCTCTGTATCCCTTCCAATATATCAGTTTTGATGCCCTTTATGACTAAATAGGACTGTCCCTCGACGTTAATCGTTACCAGCGTAACGGTTCGCATGGGTACGCGCCGTAAGGCCGTGAGCGTAAAACGTTCCTAAAACTTCCTTGAACAGCGCAATCCTTTGGCGCCTGATACAAAGCGACTCTTTATACAGAGCATAAAAATGACTCCTCTTTTTAGTGACTGTTAATACTACAAAAGAGGTCACTACCGCGCTTTTCTATTTTTCTTCCCCGTCACTCCCTTTCAAGGGTTCTTATACACAAGTATTTTTCGCCAAAAATGGTCCCTAGGCGGTTTGATTATAAATGTCTACCCTAACCCTTTTCTAATACTTCGTAAATACTCCTGTAAAAAGAGTAGTTGTCTTACTAATTCGTTTCATTATAGGGGGGCTTTGCCCCAAATATTACTTAGACCAGTCAGTCAAGTCGGTAATACTATCATGTTATTGGGAGCTAATTATGTGGTGGGTATCACTATATTACTTTTGGTAAAAAAAATCGTTCTACTATCAATCTCTGATTGCCACTCTTGAGCGTCAGCTTCTGCACTGATTATGTGCATGAATGCGACTCCATGTACCAAATCGACTGCTCCCATCCAGCTTGTTTTTCTTTTTGCGCTGGAGGTTGTCTCTCATCGCCAATCAGCATGTAAAATGCTTCAAATAGAAGAGAATAATCGTGATTTTCCCCGCAAAAAAATAATTAGAATCGGATCAAAATTGAGTCCGGTATGTCGGACCAAAATTTGTCCCTTAACAGATTTTGGTATGTCCCTTAATATTATTAAGGGACAGATTTTGGTCCGACATTCCGGACTCAATTTTGATCCGATTCTAATAGAGTTGGCTTGATGCTTCAGACGGATAGGCTTCCTCCGAGTATACTTGTAAGTAACATTATGCAAGATTCCGGCAAAAACCGTAGTCGACGGTATTTTTGTGGGGTTGAAACGCTTTGAACAACGATAAATAGGGCAGCTGATTCCAGAAGATCAATTCAGCCGAAAGGTATTTGCACTTAACAAATGAAACAGTTGGCGGTGACCCGGGTCACACCAATGACCCGGTACTCAACTATTCTGTCATAAAACATATGCATTATTTAAGTTTCTGTAATCAGGCAATGCCGACTATCCTTTCCTTGCTGCAGCTTCGATCCAACGTCCGAGTTAAGCTAAATGATGTCGTTCCTAAAATATGTGGTGTCGCCATCAATATCTGAGGTTGCCGATACTGAATTGGTGTTATTGGCGTCGACTGCGTGGTCATTGGTCATCACTGTGCTGCTAGAAGTGCCCGAATTCGAATCATCGATATGCAGGCGGCTTGGTATTTGTGGACGGGGTGTCTGAAAGCGAAGGATAAATGTGAATTTTGTTGTATGAGCTTGTTGCTTCCGAGGTCGTCCAATTGGTCGCTTTGCTTGCACTCCTACAGCTACTTTTCTCCTCGTATTTCTTTTTTTGCACCTTTGTTAGCGTCACTAAGCTCGTCGTCATTCTCGCTGAATGCTGATTCATCCGGATAGTAAGTTAAATACTCGGTAGGAATCAAGAAATATTTTAACGACAACGATTTTAGTTTTACTGCTCAACTTTCCCAGTGTTAAGTAGGGCACAAGCACGCTCAAATGCAGTAAGTCGATTCCGAGGCTTTTGTTTCATCTGTGGTGCAGTCTGACTCGAGCCACCTGTGCCGCCAGCTCGTCATTATGTCGTAGGAGGGTCGCTCATTTGAGCCAACAGTGGAATGATCGCAGTCCAAACGAGAAATGGTACTGAAGTACCTGGTGCTAAAATTAAATAAATATTTTAGATTTTGCTCTAATAATAGCTGGTGACCCGGGTCACCGCCAATTGGTTCAAATGTTGCAAGAATGTGTTCCTGCGCACCTGATGCATCTGAGGCGACGTTATGTATAAAAGGTGTTGCGGGGAACTTGGGCGCAGGTAGAAGGAAGTCAGGGTAGGAAGGAGTAAAAGAAGAAGTAAGATTAATGTTTAAGAAAGTAGCGGACTACTAACAAGAAATTAGTATGCGGCATTCAGAAACATAGTCTAGAATTGCCGCTACCATTCATCGTACTAAAATGTTCCAGACATTTTAGTACATTATTTATTAGAGTCAAAAATACCGTGTCTCTTCATTATTAGTTTATAGAGAGCACGATGGAGAGGTGGTCCCTGTGACGGGCCCTAACCTCAACAAAAGGCAAGCGTATTGGCCATCCAGTAGCGCCAGTGGCGGCTGATTCCGGTCGTATGGATACATAATATGTATATTATAGACACGGTAAATCATGAACCCATCTTCGGAGTCCGAGGAGACTCCAGTGAAGCTCCTCCTTGGGTTAACTCAGCACTTGTGCATTCAGAGAAGCTCCTCATTTCCAGATTTCCTGCGCCTTAAGCAGTCGTCGTCGAGAGCAAGCAGTAGAAATGACAAGGATGGACACAGACTCCGACGAGCGTCTCGCCGCAAATCACGCGGGTGAACTCACAAGAACCGTGCGCATCCACATGTATCAGCGAAATGTAATTTTGGCGTTCCGCCGGAACTTCCGGGCATTTGAGCAGCTGCCCCATCTCGAAGCGGTGCACCTATATCGAAGAGATCACACGCTCCTATTTTCTGGGTCTCGTCGATATGCAGACGCTTCTTAACTTTTTCAGTATTCTTCCAGCCCCCGAGTGGGCTCTTGAAGGTGTGGAGAAGCTCCACAAGTCAATCGAGATGTGCGTCGAGGCGGGTCGTTTCCAGACTGTACTTGCCCAGAGCGCTTGTGTCCGGTAGTCCCGGTCGCGCGTTTCCTGAGTGGTTTTAAGCAGAACCTCACAGGCGCAGCTAGGCTGCGAGCCGAGCGCTGTTGGGATCAGTTGGCTAGCCCCACAGTCCGTGCGATCATAGCGGGGGGGGGGTGATTTCGTCATAGAGTTAGTCTCACGTGGCGAGATGATGTATGCACCAGCCGATGGTTACTCCTATAGTAGTGACACGCGCCCAGTGTTTACCTGGGTGCCCACGCCATATCGGCATGAGGGCAACCGCCAGGAGAGATGGCGCATTGTCCAAGTTCAAGACACCGAGAATTGCTTCTTGATCCAGAATATGGCGTTTGGTGAGTATTTGTATGCAACGTTTCGGGGAAGACCCGATCGCGAGCAGTCGATGGTGAGCCTCTGCCGCCAAGATTACCGGTTCGACGACGACGAAAAAGAAATGTTTACTGGCAGCTGATTCCTGTCGACCCAAACAACCGCGAAGTGTTTGCACTGTACAATCGTTACCAAAATGAGTTCCTCGCCGCACCGGACGTTTTTTATAACCAGGAAAGACGCTTTGTGAGAAGTGTACAAGCAAACGTGTTGGCTATCCAACAGCGCCAGTGGCGTCTAATGCCGCAGACGTGATTCCAAAAGGTTTAACTTGGCACAAACACTTTAAATGGCTAAGCAGATCATGTATAAAGAAAAATCTAATCCTTCGCTGTTATTGTATTGGTGAGGTTTAACAAATATATGAAAGTACAATTGCAGTTTTTTTTTCTCGTTTGCTGTTACATCTTGGCTCAGCTAGAAATCACAGTAGGCTAATGGCATACGGTATGTCAAAGAAGATATTCAACATCTCGATTTGCGCATAACGTATGATTTGATAGTTTTTTGGTATGTTTTGCAGTGTTCAAAATAATTTTGTAAGAGCTCAGGGATGTTATTTTCCACAGTACATCATCTGCTTCACAGTGTCGCCGTTCTTTATTTGCGTTCCATGCGTCGTCGACGACGTATTCTACGTATAATGCTGCTTCTCGTACATTCGCGATCACTTTCGCGCAGTCTGGGTAGATGTGTATCACCTCGATAGTCCAGAGCCGGTCTGTTCATCAACCACACTGATTCACCTCACCGAAAACTACAATACCGGCAATATAAGTGCTATCTGTAAATATTTTTTTCGTAGTCATCCCACAGTGTAAAACTGATAGCCAAAGTGAAGATTGCAATTGCACCGGAAAAAAAACGAAGGCAACACAATCGACAAAATACGTACGGACAGTGAAAGGTGAAAAAGAAGCCGTAAGAGGCGCCTGACTCAAAGTGATCTGGGGACCATCAAAGCGGATGACAGCCACATCGCTCGCCAATTCCGTTGCCATGACTTCACTCTCAAACATTTCGCGCCACCCGCAAGCAACTCATCGATTCTCCGTTTTCTAGATGCTGCACTTAACCGACCACCACCATCCGCGACTCGACTCTCCCTGCGAGACTCAAAAGCCCATACCCAAAGTATCCGATACCAAGTGGAGATCACTCCGGAAGCTGGTGCACAACGTGAAGAACGCGGATCTGCAGACACGTCCTTGGCTTGGCTGGGCTGTCGCTTACGCCTTCGTTGTGGTCGTGTGTCTTTTCAATCGCCGAATTTCAATGACGGCGTTGGTTACCATGTACGCAAGTGCGAAGGACGTGACCTCAGCTGTCGTTCTGGCAGCGCTGTGTCTTGGGTTCCTGGAGGATTTCGTGTGTGCGACGTACTTGGCGCTTGCGTTGTGGCTGCTTGACGTCTTGAAGCTGAGAATTGGCTCACAAGTTGGCGTTTGCAAGGATCGTGGCGCGGCTCGATTTGTTCGCAATTTTGCAACATTCACAATCTCTTGGCTGCTCTACGTCATGATGATGATGCCGTTCTGGGCAGATTTGCTACTGGTGCGTCTTCGGGGCATGCGCTTCACGTCCGACCTCGTCGCGGTGGCAATCGAAGAGAAGGACAACGTCAGCGCAGTCCCAATATCGAGTGACGAGCTTCAAGAAGGCTTCGTCAATGCTGTGGCTCTGGTGGTGCTAGCGACGCTCTTCGCGAGCTTACGTACGTGGGCTCCGTGGATGGATCTCACGTCGTGGAATCCAGTGTGTGGCCCGTCAGATCGAGTGCAGTACAAGCAGGTGCCGTCAGCCCGCGAAGGACTCAACGAAGACGCAACTTGTGCCACCCCTCGGCACATGACGTTAAAGGTTGATGAACCTGAGACGTCCAGAATGTTGGAACCTGATAACGACGACATCCTAAAGTCTAAACGGAGCTGGTACTGCCGATACGGAGTTGCCCTAGCCGTCGCACTGATCGGTCTGCCGATTGTTGCGGTGTTTGTGAGCTGTGCCACCTCTCCTCTCATTGCGTACTCGGCGCTGAACACTTCGTTGAACGAGTTATTCGGCCACGCCTTGCAGCCCAGTCTTCCCAATATGAGTTACAGCTTGCCGTGGCCCGAGAAGTTCATCCACTCAGCGACCGAAGAGTACACTCTCTTTGGTGACCATTCGCTGTACCGACGTACTACAGGATTCCACGGCGAGAAGGCCTTCGACGTGAGTGTTACGACCAGTGACCCGCCTAACGTCCTGGTGCTAGTCATCGAGTCGTTTCGGTTCCACGACTCCCGGTACCTCGTCGGGAAAGAAGACCCGTCCAACCTTTTCAAAGGCGCAAAACTCACTATCACTCCGAATTTTGACAAGTGGGCCAAGCGCGGGGTGGCACTTCGCAACTTTTGGTCCAGTTGGCGAACGAGTCGCTCGGTGGAGAGTCTGCTCTTTGCGCAGATTCCACTCGACAGTACGAGTAAGTCGGGGATGTCTGGAGGCAGGAACGAGACGAAGCTGTCGGGGTTACCGCAGCTCTTTACAGCCAAAGGCTACGAGACCTTCTTCACTACCGGCTGCAAGACGGATTACGATGCCTGGGATAAATTCCTTCCGACTCATGGGTTTGACACCGTGTGGGGACGAAACGAGATGATGCAATTGGCTGAAAGTGACTTGGGCATCAAGCGTGACGAGTGGTATGGCGCTGAGCATCGAGCGTTGAGTTGGGGCGTCCACGACGACTTGAGCTTCCAGCTACTCGGTGACTTGATGCTCAACAAGACGAGAGAGCAGAGGGCGCGTGTAGCTAAGAACGAGCCGAAGAAGCCGCTCTTCCTCACCCACTACACGATCTCAAGTCATGTCGACTACAAGCAGCGTCCGAAATGGTATCACGACGCGGTGAAGCCGATTTTTTCGGAGCTGTTCGAGGGCGAAAAGTACGCAGACAACATCAAAAATTACCTTGAGATTCGCTACTTCACCGACTTGCAGCTGGGAAAATTCATGGATCGGATGGACAAAACTGGGGTCCTCAATGACACTATCGTTGTTATCGTCGGTGATCACGGTCAAGGACCCGAATTCGGGAATGATGTTCCTGAGGACCGAGATGTTTCTGCCACGCGTGTGGCAGGTAGTATCATCGCCGAAGGACGGCTGGGCGACTCTGTTGGGCTTGTTATTGACGACGCTGCGGAGCAATACGATATTCTGAACACGCTTGCAGACATCACCGGTGTCCCTGACGGTGGCTTCGATCAAGATGGCGTTGGTCGGTCACTGAAGCGTAAGACTACGTTTGGAGAGCGCGTTGTTTACAGCAATAACCCGACACGGAAAATGTCGATTGTGAGGGGTCATCAGCGTCTGCGTTATGACCGTATCACCGATTCGGTGCTGCTACACGACGCCGATACGGATCACGACATGACTACGGATCTGTTCCCAAAGCTTACAGCTAAAGAGCAGGCGGAATGGCTCCGCTGGCGCGATGATGGACGTCGGGTAAATGAGTACTATACCGAACGTTGGGAGAATGAATGTTTGTTGGCATCAGATTGCAAGGGCGCGAGCGCATCGTAATGAGTCGACCCACCAGCGTGCTCGAAAACAAAAAAGCACGCAAGTACCCGAGCTCTTTTTCTTTACAAAATTTGGGGCCTAAGGAGTTAACCCTTTCGATATCCCCAAGGCATAAAGGAATTATATCTCACTTTCTGTATTGCAAACTATTATCCATTCAAAACAAGTTGAAACCATTCCTGCTACCTAGACTGATGCCTTTTTTTTTCATTTTCTAGCAGCTCACGTTTCCATGTTGCTGCTAATGCCAACAGCACCGTCGCGAGTGAGTAGTGCGTGCTCCAGCACTGATGCCACATCCGCAAGGTTGCCAAGAATATGCATCAACGGTGTGAAAAAGTTGGTCGTCGCCTCCACACGCGACAGTCGACGCTCGTCGGCGTCCAATTCAAAATCGATCGAATATGGCACCCTAAAACGTTGTCCCAGTAGCTTTGAGCGTAAGAGCTGTTCCTTCAGGTGCGGAAACACGTTCTTGAGTGTTGCCTCGGACACAGTGACGTTGAGCGTCGCAGAGACACTGACGAATTGATGAGTTGTCCGCTGAATGCGATCCGGCTGAAGACACACGCTCTGGAAACTTGACGAGTACAGCTGCCACTGATCCATGAGCGCCTTCACACCTGCGCGCTCACCTAAACTCACGTCGTCGGTCATCGAAGAGCGCAGGAAGGCAAGCTTCCTTTTAGTATCCTCCGACGCGTTGTGGCTGTCGCTTTGAGGTAGCACCACCAGGACACCGAAGCGAAAGATGCGGAGATACTCCACCACAACGTCCCAAGCGTCTTGCTGACCTTTGTCACGGAGCGTGTCGCGCTGTAGCTCTAGGACAGGGATGTCACCGCGCAGCTTCCGGACTGCTTGCTCGATTGTGTTGAAGCAGTTGATTTGTTTCTGTCGGTATCGAGCCTGGTTAGCTTGACACTGCAGGCGACGTCGCTCAGTCCTCACACGAACGCGTTTTTTCTTTGGTCGTATTTGGTCGGTATCTAGAGGTAGTGTACTGGTGTTGCAGTGAGATGACATGGAATTCTCAGATTGCGCACGTCCAACAGCGAATGAGGACAGTTCGACGGGCACGGATAGAGTCGGAAGTTGAATGGTCAAGCTGGAATGATCCACTCCTCGCTGTAGGAACTTCGCTACGTCGGTGCTTCTCGCAAAATTACGTCGGAAAACTGGTCGGACGATCTTGGAGCTCAACGATGAAACATGCTTCGACATTTGGGCATCGAAAGCGGGAGGTGATCGCATAGCCTGCATGAATTTCTGGTGTGTGTATGCCACGGTATTTTGATAAATTGAGAAACACGCAGACTGGCGGATTAACGAAGTCCAAGCTTACGCGACAAAAAAGACGTCAATGTTTACTAAAAATCGATTCTAGCGTAATTCTTGTTCGATGGTGATGACGCTCCCCAAGGTGACGGTGCAACGGTGCAATCGGAAGGAGAGTGACTATTACCACAACATGAGTTGCTTAAGATTTGCTGACGGGCTTTCACCATAAAGTACGAAATAGGGAGGTTTGGGAGGATGACCACTTTTGGAGATTTGCAGTCTCATGACACCCCATTCGGAATGGCATCCCCCCTTGTGGCAATAGTCGCTGCGGACCAGTCATGTTATTACAGACAACGACGGTGAAATCCGCCCGGTGTCGGAGCACTATCCTTCATATAAAATAAAAATATTACGCGCGACTGGAATAACCCGCCCAAAAATATAATTAGTTAAAAGTGGTAGCAAAGTCTGAGCACAAAGTACAAAAACGGTTTCAAAAGGTACAGACACGATGCGGAAATTAGCAGGTCCTTAGTTAAAATTTTACATGAACGCCTGAATACGGGATACGGATTTATTGGAACTGTTTTCTTTAGTAAGAAAACCATGTTTGGACCCGGACGGGCTCAAAGGTATGGCAGATTTCACCGTCGTTGTCTGTAATAGTATTGCATCCACACGAATCACATTATGTAAGAATTAATCTACATACATACTGTAAGCCTCGTGTCCCCGTCTTCAGAGCTCGCAAAAGTAAAAGCTCGTTTTACCCAGTCCATCCGATTGAATTCTCCATCGCGCTCCGACATACGTTTGGGTTTACCGAATTCTAACCCGCTCCTCATTTCGAATAGCCAGTCGTACCCATGTATAGCGGAACGAGCCGAAGCACGGACTACAGTTTTTTTCTTCTTTTGAAACATGGACGTCACTTCGCCGATACAAGCAACATCCTATGGCCTTGTCAGTAAGGGTCTCGATCCACTCGCCCCTCCTTGTGACGAACCTGACACACAAGGCTGTTCCAACACCTTACAGCGTTTGGACCACGAGCTTCTTCGCACCAGTGACCTACATAATTGGGTGCGTTTGCATACACTGCAGACCAACGCTCGGTGGAGCCAGTTGCGTGCGCTGGGCGGACCTATGGCGACCGTCCATGGCCATATGCTGTGCCAAATTATATATCACTTTGTATGCTACCAATTGAAGTAATATGAAAGGCTAAAAGAAATGTAAATCAGCTCTTATTAGCTAAGACAGTAGATGTACTAACAGCCAGCCAAAGGAAAAGAGGCCAGCATTGGCCAACATTAGGGAAAGCCGAGGGATGTTACGGAGAGATGGCGTGTGCCATATCACTTTCCAATTACTGACGGCATTACAACTACAACTACTCGTCCGACACAACATTTCAAGTACGATGACTACCGATGCGGGGCCTGGTGGCGGTCTCGAGAAGTTTAACGGCAAGTCCTACACAGTGTGGAAGGATAAGCTACTTACGCACGTCAACCAATTGGACCACGTGTACCAAACGAAGCAGGTTGAGAAGAGGCACTCTGAAGCGAAGGTGCTGATGGCTGACTTCCTCAGAAGCAACCCCGAAAAGCCGGCATCGCCGACCACCGAAACCGCCACAGAAGAGGCGTACGCAATGCGGTGGGAGGTGATGCATTGGACAAGGGCAAGGGGAGATCTTCAGAACCTGTTGAATCAGGTTCTTCCCAGCTTTTTTTGTCAACCCTACCCGATGTGGTTTCCTCAATGGATTCATGTGAGGTTATTCGACTCCTCGAAAAGGATTTTGGGCAAGGAGATGCAGCCGGTCTCATTGAGTTAACGAGAGCCTGGTCTAAGTTGGCACGCACTCCTTGGCGCGACTTAAGAAAATTGTTTGCGCAACTTAAGAAAGCAAAAAATGAGATTAATAGGAAGTCTCGCAGGCTATTGGGGCAGGACATGGTGACAGGGCCGTGGCTTTGTGTTGAAGTGCTATCTCAGCTGCCCAGTGAGTTTTGGGCATCCTCAATTTCCATGAAAAAGGAGGACTTTACCGTGGATCAGGTGGAAAGTTCATTGCGCCGGATTTTCGGGGACAAATCGAAGAAAGAGGTGGGACTTATGGATAAGTCCCAGGCGGTAACTGTCAACAATGTGCGGGTCAAGCAGGGTGCAAAGCGAAAACCCAGTGGAAACGAAGGTGAGGGAAGTTCTTTCTACTGCTTCCAAACTGGCCACTTCAAGCCGGAATGTCCCCAAAAGCTGGCTGACAGAGACCCAAATCGAGCAGGTGGACCCCTATTTAGGACTGGCGTTAACACTGCGCCGGGGGCTAAGAAGGCTAAAAGGGTCAAGACAACTGCGGCTAACACTATTAGGGCAATCATGAGCGAAGGTATGGAGCGCCTTAAAGTGGGTGAGAAGACCTTTTTGGAGAAATGTGCTGAAGATGAGGACATGGACGACATTGAAAGCTTGGACCCAGCGCACCATGAGGGTTTTAAGGATTGCGGTAATTCAGCAAAGACACGCCCCAGTCGCCTCAAACTATGGATGGCATTGAAGCAGAGGTAAGTAAACGTTATGTCTCTTATTTGAGTCTGTTAGAAAAACTTACTCTAACGGATGATATGTGGGTGGTTGATACGGGTGCAGGTCGAGCTATAACACCAGATAGAGACTGGTTTAGAGGGAGCCTCCAACCTGGCCAGAGCCACACACTCACCTACGGTAATGGATCCACCTCTCACAGTACACTTAAGGGATCAATAAAACTACATGTTTTGAACCCTAATAGGAGGTTGAGTTCTGTAACATTAACCGATATATCATTTGACAAAAAGTGCGATAGCAATTTGCTGAGTGCATTCTATCTGGCTAAACAAGGTTACAGTCACATCCAAGCAAAGTCGGGAAAGGTTTTGTTCTTTTTAGGAAAAGACAGTAAACTTCTCTTCGCAGCAGTAGCGAAAGGTGAGGTTTACTACTTGCCGAGTGTAAAGCCATCGAAGACGAGTGTATTTAGTGCTCAAAGTGGAAAATTGGGTGATATCCTCAAAGAATGGCACTTACGACTAGGCCATGTCGGTAAAGAGAGGCTAATTAGGAGTATGAGTAACCAGAAAATTGAGGGTTTGCCTAATATCCCCTATTCTGAACTCAATAAAGTACCCTTTTTTTGTAATACATGTGCCCACATCAAGGACCGCAGGATGTCATACAGAAATATGATCGGAAGTAAGGCTACTGAGCCTCTGCATACGTTGCATATGGACTCAACCGGAAGGATAAGAGTAAACGGTCTTTATGGGTCGTTTGGCTATCACTATGCGTTAGCAGTTGTCGATGATGCAACTGCCTATAAGTGGTATATTGTAGTCAAGTCTCTAAACGAGGTATCAGGCGTATGACGAGCTCACTTTTACCGGCGGCGAGTAAGTAGGGCGCAGGCCCCTCCGATTCGTAGCGAATGGGTTGCGTAGTCATCTGGATTTGTCCCTGTACGACGTGCTGCTTCCTTGATGAGATTCGAGATCTCTGTCTTCCGAATAGTTTTTGATCTGCTGACTGAAGTGAGATACGGCCCAATAATTTTACCCGAAGCTTGCCAATCTAGTCGGATTGCCCAGCACAACTCGGCTGCGGCAACTGGGCATAAGGGCGTCTGACCCGACCGAAAGTGCCGAATGGTTGTCCCTTGGCGTCTTTGGTAGCCTTTGGTCGCCTTTGTGAGGACGAAAGATGATATCTACGGAGGTCGCTGAACCAGTTCCTGGTTTCCACGAATTAGATGGTTCTATATTGAGCAATGACATGGAGACACCTGCGAAGTCGTTTTCGAACGCGAGCTGGTTCAGCCACATGAGGTCACTTCGAAGTGAGTCCGTCATGGGAGTACCTGAATGACTGAAGCGTTTAACCGATAGCTGAATTCCGATAAGCCGTTGCATGAATGGCTTTGCGATAGGTAACGATGTGTCGCACGACACCGCCTAGACTGTCGAGTCTTTGTCTTGAAATGAATCGCATCGAAAGTGTCTCCGCGACAATGCGTTTGGTTTTGGCGGCTTTCCTCTGTGGAATGGTTACTGTAGCTTCGGGGATGCTCCAGTCGATGCCTACGGCGTGGAAGCGTCGGGACCATGTCCTAAATTTTCTTCATGCCAACCATCGGAGCCAAATACCAGCTTGATGGCGTCTCTGAGACGGCGTTCTGCACGCAGGAGTCTGTCTCCAATATCTACTTTAATAATGACGATGTCGTCAACCCACTGAAAGATCCAGAATGGCTCTGGGTACCCGTGTACATACGAAACGCCCGTGCGCTGATAGTGGCGGGCCGCCTTGTCCATGACTGCGAAGAATCTAGAAGAAGCTGTCCAGCCAAATACTGCCATGCCCGACACAATACCGACGTGCGATCGTGGGAAAGTGCCCCCAAACGCGGAAGAATATCATGATTTTACCGGGACATGGTGGAATGCTTCCGCAATATCCGCCCCGAGCGCATATATGACGCACCCTGGGTAACGCCGCTGTAGCTCCAGAATTCGAGCAGATGTACTGGAATATGCATCCCAGCAAGCATCTGATGTGAAGCCTGAATTGGTGATATCGTTGATGGACACGCCTTGCTGCGCGGATAGATCATGGATAATCCGACCAACCTCTGTCAATGGAACGTCCTTCTTCGGTACAAGGGCGAACGCACTCGAATGAAATACAGGGTCAGCTGCAAGCGACGCAATACTGGCAATGATGCACCTTTCGCGATAATAATCGTGGAGTAGTCAATGAGTGACGACAGTTGATCCTTCTACCGCACTAGGATAGTTAGTTGGTACGGGTCGCACGCCAATTCGTGAAGTAGGGTCGATCCACCGCGGAATGAGACCTTCTGCCGCAATGCTACACAAATTTGTGTCACAATCGAGGAAGCTCTGGGTATAAAGCGAGATGTAGACATTACAAATCGGGACGAAGGATTTTAATGGGACGCTGGTCCCGTGAGGTCTGACCTCTGCAAATTCTGAGTGTGCCAGTGATCCTGGCGTCGGGTCATTAAATAATTGATGATAGCAATTTCTCGTCGTCGCCTGAAATCTCGTAGTGCTGTGCAGTTGGTTGTAAGAATACGGTGTCGATTGGAAATGGAATGTCATGTGTGGCGGAGAGAGCCTGGAACGAGCAGAATACGCTCAAGCGTACATGACCATACACAATACATTCGCTGGATCCGTTCGTGTCGAACTGAGATGTCTCGAGGCGAGCCGAAGATTGATCAATTCAGGAATAGTCGCTCTCGTGCGTGTAGACGGGAGTGTTTCCATCTCGCTGTGATAAACTAGGAAACGATACAATACAAGACGTGCGACTCGTTTGAAATCCGTCATAACAATTGTCCAACGTGCTCGCCATTTAGCGAAATCGATTAACCTCTGCGATGGAAATGAAAGTCTTGGCGCCTCCAGTTCGATTGGGTGAGCAGCTTTACTCCTTACGAGTAGCCAGGTCCGAGTATCTGAGAAGATCGTCTTCGAAACACTCGGTGCCGAATCCATGTTCCAGTCGCACAGTCCATCCGACGCTGTATTAAACGCTCGTGGAGCTGCCACCAAAAACGGCTTGCGAAGGCCGAAAAGTAGGCGTGGAATTTCCTGCATTGTCAAAATGAGATTTCGAGCATTGGTACGTCGCTTTGCAAGCGCCAGGTTTATGATCACTGAAGAGTCAATGATGATCCAAATTGGAGTTGCACGCTCGTGTTGGTAGGGCCCCCGTAAACCCGTTAAGAGCCCGTTGTGCTTCCATCTAATTGTTGGTTCCTCCAGGAAATATAGTACTGGTGGTCCACCATAATAGTGAATTTGCCTCCGACCACACGCAGCTGGCGTGGGCGCTTATATTTCCGTGACTACGGGTACCACCATCGAATGGCATGATGATCGAAGGAGATCCTGCCTCTGTGATAGGATTATGGCTATCAGCAGACACTGGTCGGTTGATTTCGAATTGAGGCGAACGAGCAGCGAAGTTTGAATATGAATTAAAAATATAAACGCGTGCAGGATGTTGAACGTCTCTGCGCCATCAGGTTAGAGTGTTTGGTGATTGTCCTTCAAGTCTCCATGCCGACGCTTCAAATACTGGAGCACGTCGTCCTTAAGTGTTACTAGGTCATGGACGTTCTTACAGCTAGGGAAGTCGCGTCCTCTCTTTGTCTGAAATCGTAAGCAGGTAGATGTACCCACCTTCTTCGGTATTAGGGTCAGAATAGCTGAGAGGAATGTGGAGCGACTTTGTTGTAACCGGGGGTTGTGGCGTCCTTTGTTTGGCCGTGACCGATGATCAGAGCGTCGCGATAGAACCGCCTCTTGTCCACGTGTCAACAATTGCTGTGTCAATGACGTCCGCCGAATCATGGGATAATATCGCTCGAACCTCAGGTACGAGTGACGAGGCGAGCGCGTTATCACGAATCGACTGAAACAAACCTGTGAACACGTATGTGTACAAATTGATCGTGGCGTACACGAGAATTTCTGGAGCTCGATCAAGTGTGTCCGTCATTGCGATGGCATGCACAGCGCTAAAAACCTCAGCAACCGGCCGAGGGTTCCACTCGATGGCGTATTCTTGGACTCGAGAGAGAGCCTGGCGGAGGTTGGATATAGTAGCTGTGTGTACCGTTGGCACTGTGTCTCCGGATCCCCACGTGGCCGAGTCGTGGGTCACTGAATGCCTCCCGCCGCTCTGCGCAGGGGGAGGAAGAAAATGGTAAAGTGGACGAGTCCCGAAGTTGACGGTGAAAATCATTTTTGCAGTCACTTTCGCTACCCAGTAACGCTTGCAAAGAATTTCGTGATGCTGAATTGGCGAAACACGGTCCAGGAGCGGCATTTGCCAGTATCGAATTAAATCGCTTTCGACTTCCCTACATTGTGGTCGTGGTCCCACGCGTGACGTCTGATGAACCTCAAGCTCAGTTGCTGGTGGTCGAAACGTTGTCGCTCTAGATGAACCTCAAGCTCAGTTGCTGGTGGTCGAAACGTTGTCGCTCCAGAGGTCAGATCCTCAATCGCCTGTCTCAGCGATGCTCGCCCAAAATCGTCGTCATCATTGGTCCTGCTGCGTGAATGTCCGGCACTTTCGCGATAGTGGTAATCGCGCGAACGCAGGGCTCGCGAGTCTCGTGGCTCCTCGAGTGCTTGATGTCTGTGCACATTCGCGTCTCACCTTGAAGACGGCTGGTGGCGATGGTCAACTGATCGCTCCGAGTCACTGCTGCGGTGTCCGCGTGAACTGTCATCGAAGACAATGTCGCCCCGAGTCGTAGCCATCTCACCGGGAGATTCGCTGAGGTGACCTTCGTGGTCACGTGGACGGGGAGATGGAAGTGCCCCTGTACGATGTAGCGTCGGGTCCCTCGGTGGTCGACCAACCGAGTCGCCGTGGTACACCGTGCCGCGGCTGCGAGAGCGTGAATGTTGGCGGGCCCGGCTGCGACTCCGATCGCGATGTCTGTCACGGGTCCGGTCGTGTAAATGGTGTGAAACTCGCTGGTACGGACTGCGACTTCTGCTGCGTCGACTGCGGCGTTGACGGGAACGTTCCCGGTTACGCTGTGGCTGCTGGCCGCGTACGACACAAGTTCGGTCTACCGGAATCAGCGGGGATGAAGCTGCTGCGGCTTCTGGTGGCGCGCCCGACTGTACTATCTGGTAAGATTGTTCAACTTATCGTTGGATCCATTGTTGTGTAGCTTCTACCAGCCTCTCCGTCGACTGGGCCATTGCGAGCATAACAGCCATCGTTTGTGCACTCATGTAATGAGCTATCTCCGCTGTAGTGGCCGCCGAAGATTGTGGTACATGTTGTATCGTGGCGGATTGCCTCGTGTAGTCGCTGTTCGCTACCCTAGGAATATCTTGAGCCTGATCTCCTTGTCCGCAAGGGGAAGCCGTCACACCACTAGGAACCACCGGAGTGACGCTTCCTAGAAACCACGCCTCCGGAACTGGAGCTGCCAGTCGAGGTGATGAATTGAAGCTGACTATGTTTCGAGCGTCACTGGGCATTGGTCCTCCGCGTGAGAATCCAACCGCTAACATCTCGGTCGACGTGTCCGAGTCTGTGTCTGCGTCTTCGTCAAGGCGCCGAGCCCTGGATGCTGTAGGCCCGATGTACTTGCGAACGTGACCGAGCGGAGTGACATCAAGTGCGCGTCCAACTTCGAAAGAATTGGTATAGCCTCCATACCAAAGTCAACTGCTGTATCAGAGCCGACAGGTACAAACGTCGATTTAACTGTCTAGATAAATCGCTGTCCGACTGAGTTCCGACCTTTAATTCTCGTCAACGGGAACTAAAACGCGTTGTGCGTCGTACCGGATTGGATAAAGGACTGGCGTACCGTGACGTCAGCCCACCATGAATACGTCGCAAGAAATCTGACATTCTCATGCTACGTTACACGGTAAAAATATGCAAGCGTCTGATGCCGAGGTTGGTTGACGGACGGACACCACGCAGAAGTAGCTGGTACTGAGGCGTAGGCGCGCCCCAGACATAGTGGTGAAGGTTCTGTATGCCACGACTTGTCCAACGAGAAACACGTTCATCAAATTCTCCACGTATTCAAGGCCGCTACGGCCGTCGCCCGCCGCGACGAAACACGTTCTAAATCGTACGAATCGAAATAGCATTAATACTTAGGCAGGGGTGCCCGGTCGCGCCGCTGCCCTTCATCATCGCAGCAGAGGTGCTGGCTTTAGCCATTTGGCAGGCCCCAGAATTGCAGGGCATTGAAGTACCGGGATCAGAAGATCAAAGACACTTGTTCTCGGCCTTTGTAGATGACTCTACTCTATTTCTGCAGCGAGCTCAGCAGATCCCCCGAGCCATGCAGATTGTGGAGCGCTTTGGTAGACTGTCTGGTCTACAGGTCCAGTCAGCCAAAAGCATGCTCATCTTCCTGAATAAGACAGTCGAGTTGACTCAGTTCCATGGCCTGCCGGTCCTGAAACATGGAGATACGGTCCGTTATTTAGGCTATCAAGTGGGCACCGGAGCGTTGACGGATGTGAATTGGGCCACACGCATTCGGAACATTCAGCGAAGACTGGCAACGGCTATGAGATTAGCGAACAGTGTGGAGCATCGGGTGACGATCTTAAATGTTATTATGTTACCGTCCGTGCACTTCACTGCGGCAGCGTTCGAGAAGCCCCTATGGGCAGAGAAGCAGATTCTCAACCTGCAAAAACAGTTCCTATGGAGACACAGCACAGCGACACATACGAGTCGGCACAAGGTGAATCCGGGACTTGTATATGCCCCAAAGCCGGCAGGAGGAATGGGGCTGGCATCAGTTCCTATACCATGCCAGACCCAGAGAGTTAAACACACCATACCGTGGCTCGTGCAACGCAAAGACACTTACTGGTCTGCATGGAAAGCTTGGGTCTTTCGCAGATCAACGAGTGAGTGGGGTGAAGTTATATCTCCGACTAACGGGACCGCTAAGGCAGCCACACGAGTCAGAGGACAGCCTGGGGAAAGAGTGCAGCAGCTGATGACTACTTGGCTCCAACCACCTGATGACCTTTCAGCAGACTCCATCTTGAAGTACCAGACGGATCTTGAGCAACTGGAAGTAGACTCTCTTAGCTGGACTGTAGCAGGAAGATGGATCATCGAGCTACCAAGGGTATTGGAGTCACCGTGGAGGGAGATGACGGCGTTAGTTGAAGCATTCTGGCCGGCATTCAAATGGAACGCCAACCCGTGGATATTAGACAAGAGTGGAAACACACTCAGCAATAAAAAATACGACAGGATTCAAAGCTGCACAGTCGAGGAACTTCATATCACGCGTACAGCGGAGACGACTTACGCCTTCTCAATCCCGGTCGAAGGAGCAGTGGAACATCAGCAGGCAAAGTTGAGGAGATGGGGCCTACCAATACTGCTGAACGCGCCGACGTTAGCAGTTGGAGCGATACTGCACGTCCGGCCATGTAATGCAGCTTTCCAAGATCCTTCATCTCAAAACGTTCTCGTAACATTTGCTTCATTTTGTTGATGAGATTCATGCTGGGGCCAAACAAGATCAAATCATCCACATACAGTGGAATAAAGACCAGCTGCCCGTCAATTACTTTTACAGCCACACAAGGTTCACATTTCAACATAGTAAACCTATGCTCTTCCAAGAAAGACTTCAAAAGTTGAAACCACACTCGTGGTGCTTGTTTTAAGCCATACAGACTTTTCAACAAGCGACACACCCAATCTTCTTTTCCTTTTTCCTTGTATCCTTCTGGCTTATCCATTTATACTTCAACATCAATTTTGCCATTTAAAAACGCAGTGGTAACATCCATTTGGTGTATTTCGTAATCCCAGACTGCGGCAAACGTTAAGAGGACACGCAGCGTTTCAAGCCTGACCACAGGTGAGTATACCTCCAGGAAGTCAATACCACAGACTTGCATAAAGCCTTTAATTACAAGCCTCGCTTTGTATCGATCAATCTCACCATTCGGCAAATATTTAATTCGAAACACCCAACGGTTCTTCAACACCTTCATGTGTTTCCTGCGTGGTAACAATTTCCACGTGCCATTCTTAAGTAACGCTTCATATTCGGCATTTGTTGCACGCTTCCACTGCATATTTTGCTCGCACTCTATTGCTTCTTTGTATGTTTCTGGCTCAGTTACAGCACTCTCTGTCATGCAGCAATAGTCTTGCCACCATGAATTGGCTTTTTCTTTTGCCATTGCGTGCTGAAGCTCCTCACGAGCTCTCACCCATTCAACAGAAGAAGAACACACAGATGTGCTCTCATTCTCAATCGCATTTGAATAACCAATATGAATGTGGTCACTTAACCACGGCGGTGGTTTACTCACCCGTCCACTCCGGGTTGTGTAACCTTCTGCACTTGCACCTTTCGGAGCCACATACTCTCGCAGCCCTCTAGATGAGGAAGTTGTCACGCCCCCCCTTGCTTGAGAGCCCACGAGATTCTGCTGGCATCTTCGTGCTCGTGCTCGTGCTCGTCATCTCACGAGACACTGAAGTGGAAATTGCCTCTGTGCATGGAACCTTTGATGGTTCTGATGCCGGTGCCTCGCACCGCATTTTGCTCCTCTTACGTTGAGACTCAACAGTCTCTGAGGCGCCACTCTTGGTCCGACCTCTTTTCTTATTGCATTTATTGCACTCACTAGATTGACTATCAGTCTCGGATGTGCCACTTGCACAATCTAGTTTGTCAGCGTGACCACTTTTGGCCCCACCTGACCGTGCATCACACTCTGTATCTGCCCCACCTGGACGGTCATCACTTACGATGTCATCAGCCCCACCTGACCGATGACCACCTTCTTTACCGTCACCATTATCGCTTTCAGCTTCGTGCATGTCTTCGAGCATGGGTTCGACATTGCTATCGATACCAAAATACTCATTGGTTGACACAACACGTTGATCAGAAGCACTCTGCTCTGATGCATTGCTAAGAAGCCGACCATGTTTATCTTCATAAAATACAACAGTGTGGCTGTAGAAAGATTTGTTGGTACTGCTATCCAACAAGCGATATCCCCTCTTCTCACGGGAATACCCAACAAATACAGCCTCTCGAGCCTTTGCGTCCAATTTACGCCTTTCCACTTTATCCACATATGCCAGGACTGCACATCCAAACGTTCTCAACCGAGCATACTCCGGGGATCGACGATGCCATACTGCATATGGAACTGTATTCCGAAGGGATTGATTTATCGGAGCTTACCCTGTCCTCACTACCTAGGTCATCCAATCACCAACTGTAACGGGCCATGTGTATACTCCGTTACTTGCTTACACTGTAGTGTTGAGGAAGCTCGCAA